TATATTACATACACACACATGCACACACACGCAAGTTTTTTCTCCTTTCAAATTAGAAAAAGACCAGGATTGTTATACTGTCATAGTTAAGAATGTGGATTCTGGAGTCAGCTGAAGGTCTGAATTCAAGCTTCAATACCTCTTGCTATATGATCTCGAGAAAATTAGTTTATATCTCCAGCTTTAGATTCCTCAACTATCTATGGGAATGACGACAGGATACTTCATGAGGTTTCTGTGAGGATTAAATGAGACTTGTGAAAACAGCTCATAGTAAGTAGTCAATAAATATTTTCATAGCAGTAACAGCTACAGTAGTCCCATAAACCCAATATGGCCAAGGCAGAACCCATAACCTCTCCTCATTGCTGTTCCTCTTCATGGATTCCCTGATAAGTGGAGGGTATAACTGTCCATCCAGTCGACCAGAAAAGACCCCTACGAAACCATCACTACTGCCTCCTCCAGATGACTACCTGTCTCTCCACATCTGCTTCCAGCCTCCTAACCAGTTTTCCATCTCCAGTCATTATGTTCCCAACTCATCCTCCATATAGCTGCCATAAGACTTTTTTAAGTAATAAATTTAATTTGGTGTGTGAGTGTGCGCGGGGGGTAGGGGGGTGGGGTGGGAAAAACAGCAAGTACTATAAAAAATGCTAAGTGAAAAACGTCCTTCCCACCCTGTCCTTCATCCACCCAGTGCCCACCCATGGACTGCTGCCCACCAAGGCAGTGACTGTTATTAGTTTCTTCAATAACTTTCCAGAGACTTCTTATGATAAGAAAATTTTATATTCTTTTTTCCTACTGTTCTGCATCTTACTTTTTTCACTTAATAAGACAGAAGAAAATTTTCCATATCAGTATCTAAAATTCTCCTTCATTCTTTTTTTAACTTGAATGGTATTATATTATTTGGGTGTACTCTAATTTATTTAATCAGCCTCCTATTGATATTTAGGTGGTTTCTAATCTTTTGTAATTACAAACAATGCCATCTGAATAACTATATGGTCTTGTATGTCTGTGTGTATGTGTACATGTATAATTTTATACATTTATATCGACAAGATAAATTCTTAGAAGTAAAATAGCTGTTGGGTCATAGTAATTTGTAATTTCGATAGTTATTGCCAAATTGCCCACCACTGGGGTTATCACAATCTTTCTCACCAACAACATTTAAAAGTGCCTTTCTCTGCAATCTTACTGATAAAATGTGTTATCGAACTTTTGAATTATTTATAAATCTGAGGCAAAATACATTATTTTAATTTCAATTAGCACTTGTCTTCCGAATGAAGTAAAGCATCTTTTCAAATCTTTAGCAGCCATTTGTATTTCCTTGTCCAGGAACAGTTTTCTAATCTGCAATATCCTAATGGGCTTTTTCCTTATCTTTTGATTATCATTTTGAGTTTATACATTGAGGATATTAACCTTTTGTCTACATGTGAATTGTAAACTTTTTTTCTAGTTTGCTATTTCCTTTTTTCTCTGTTTTTAATGGCTTTTATTTTTTTCCTCTATAGAAAATTTTTAAAAATTTTCATACGGATGAATTATCAATTTTTCTTTTAATGATTTCTGGATTTGGAATACATTTGAAAGGCCTTTCCCATGTTGCTAAAGTCACCTTTACTAAATTCACATCTGACTGTGTCACTTCCCAGTTTCAACGGCTCCCAAGTGACCTTGCTCAGCATCTCTTCTTGGCACACCGGGCCCTCCACATGAGCTTCTGCCTACTGTGTCCATTCTGCCCTGCTCCCCTCGCATCACACGTCTATCCAAACTGAATGTGTACAATTCCTGGGCGACAGCAGCTGAGACCATGTCCTGTGCATTTTTTCCCACTCGTTACTCCTGGAAGACCATTTCAGTCTCACCTTTCAAGATTCAACTCAAACATACCTCTAGTATGATGCCTTGCCTGACTGCTACCAGCTCCCCACTCCTAAGCCCTCACTCTTAGGACTGACCACTCCCTTCCATTTCCAGTGTTCTCAGTCTTCCATCTAGAGACAGAGCAGACTGCTGACCCCTTTGTATTTCTGAAGTCTTTTGTGACACTGTAAGCTTCCCCAGGGTGGGGATCATGTTTTCTGTCTTCCCAGTGAAAAAAGAGTGCTCATTAAACTTGTTGAAAGAATGCATGTGCTTGGACAAATCCCTTAACTTCTTTGGACATCTATCCTCTCATCCTTAAAATAAACTGAATAAAAATGTCTATTGTTATTCATAAAGTTTTCTGGAAATACGGTCCTAAGATTTTCTTAGTATTTCTAAGTGGTCCAAATTAAGTGCTTCATTATAAATCTAAACTTAGAATGTCTTCCTTTAAGCTTGCAAATTTTGCAATCATTGAACCAAAAGAGAAATAATCAACTAAAAACTCATGAACTCAACTGGTGTTACTTACTTTTAAGGACCCTTGGGGTAAGTATCTTTCAATTATAAATTAGTTTTGAGTTCTAGAAACATAGAGATATCTCAAAGATATCTTAAACCAATTAATTTTAATTTTCAGCAAAGCAAAGAAAAATGGTTCAGGAAGGGATTTATTACCTTTAAAAAGAAAAATGGTTAGGTATTTCTCATCTTTAAAAAAGGAAATGGTTAAAGATTTGTCATCTTTAAAAAGGAGGGGATAAAAAACTTCTGATGTCCAGATATATATATTTTTTCCCTTGGGGAAGGAGTGAGAAAAGGTCCAAATAAAGAGATCTTAGTAGGTATGAAGTAAAATAAGTAAGTTTTGCTTGGTTTAACACAAAGAGAAAGCCCCCTTTAGGAATTAATTTAGACTTGACTGTGATGCCAAACAAGATGTGACACTGGCCAAACCACCTTCTCTCCCTGGCACTCAGTTTTCCTTGCTATGTCGCTGTACTGAATAAAATTGTCTCAAAGGCTCATGGTGGCTGAAACATGCCACCACTTTAAGCTACTCAAAAATTTTCAGGGAAATGGAGTGCTCTGATGGCAAAAATGGTAGTGCTATTATATGACTAAGAAGTGAGATTTGCTAGGGGCATGGGCCTAGGATAAGGCAGGTATGGCTAAATCAGGCAAAGGTGGATGTGTTGGCAGAGTCCAGTTCGATGGACTGGTGGTTTTATTCAGGTGCTGCTGACAGTGTGGTTTCACAGCAAGCCCATTACTCTGTTTGCTGGAGACAGGAGCCGCCAGCATTTCCCAGGAGGTATTTTACAAATAAAAGCTAATTTCGCTTTTGCTGTCGATGGTGTTTCTCAGCTATACTAATTACCAGATTTATTTTCTAAACTACTTAGAAACAAGTAACAGAGAAGAACAACTTCTTTTTTGAGAGACAGGAGAAAGATGGGTTTTGAAATTGCTGTGAATTTCTGTATGAGGATATTAAAATGTATATGTGTGTTTGTATTTTTTTTAACAAGTAACCGCCATTCTCTGTTTTAAGAATTATAGATTATGTTTCTGCAATTAAACCATTAAGAGTTAGGCTATTATGGTAAAAGAGTTTACACTGATCTGCAAGTCAGAATATCTGGACCCCAATTCTAATTAAACCACCATGAACCAAGTACCCCTGTTAACAATTAATTATTCCCTGGGCGCTTTTTTCCTCATTTGCAAGATAAACGGGTACAGCTGTACAGTATCAGTGGTCTTCACACTATATGACGTGGCAGAGAATCTGCCCTCTGCAGCTTGGCATGAAATGCTGATCACTCTAATTCCATTTCACAAACACTTCCGTTTAAAAAAAAAAAAAAAGACCACTCATTTTAAGTTGCTTAATTAAATTTACATGGTACGAAATGGAATGCAATCACAATCGTGGTCATTCACATCCATTAAGAACTCAGCCATGAACCAACAACAGACCGGGCATGGCCTAGATTTGCCATTAATTGTCATTTTCTTCTTTGTTCACCCTGTCATCTACACTTGAGCAGTATCGGAGAAGCAGTAACAGGCAGCACATATTCAATAAAGAATTATGGAAGAAAAACAAACTTCAAAAGAATAGTCCACTAACAATCTTTTTTGCAAACTGGAAAATGAGAGTCCTTATTTGATTCAGGAGAACACCCTGGTCCAGCTCACGAGATACCACTGTTTTCCAGGACACTTTGAGAATACTGAAGAAATTTCCTCTCTATTGAAAAATTCTATTATCTTTCATTAATCTTTCCCCAAGTTTGGTGTCTTCCTGGGATAAAAATGTGCTAGTTAGATAATACCTAACTTTGTGGCCCAGAGAAAGGTTACTCTATCAGGTATAAGCTAGAGCAGAATTGCCCTGAGCATTTGTTACTCCCTCTGCCAGCCTCTCTCTAATCAATTTATGGCCCTTCTTTGAAAAGTAAATTCCTATCTACTGTGTTGCCCTCAACTGTCTCTCTATTTACTTAAGATTTAAGCAAGAGCAGTAATAAATTTGTTTATGATGAAGTATGAGAATACCTTAATTTTAAATTCCAACTGAGAGTTAATCGTGTACATCATTTCGGTCCTTTCCATCTTCCGGGCTCCTTCATTGCACAGTCGAACCAGCTGGGAACACAGAATAATGAGCAGGGTTAAGAGGTCAAGGAGAGAAACCTCACTGCCTGACTTCCTTCCTCCCTTCCTTCCTCCCTCCCTCCCTCCCTCACTTCCTTCTTTCTTTCTTTTTTTTTAATACAGTTCCTGGCACATGGGAAGTGTTTGTTTATTTAATTTTTTAATTCTTCAATTACCGTTGACATTCAATATTATTTTATGTTAGTTTCAGGTGTACAGCATAGTGCTTAGACATTTATATAATTTACGAAGCGATTCCTCCCCGACCCAGTTAGTCTAGTACCCACCTGGCGCTATACATAATTTATTACATTATTGACTATATCCCCTACGCTGTACTTCACATCCCCGTGACTGTTTTGTAACTGCCCATTTGTACTTCTTAACCCCTTCGCCTTTTTCACCCAGCCCCTCAACCTCGCTCCCACCTGGTAACCATCAGCTTGTTCTTTGTTTCTGTGAGCCTGTTTCTGTTTTGTTTGTTTATTTTGTTCTTTTAACACATAGGTGAGATCATATGGTATTTGTCTTTCTTTTTCTGACTTATTTCACTTAGTATAATATCCTCTAGGTCCATCCATGTTGTCATAAATGATACGGTTTTGTCTTTTTTATGGCCGAGTAATATTCCATTGTATATATGTACCACCTCTTCTTATCCAATCTGTCTATTAATGGGCATTTAGGATGATTCTATATCTTGGCTATGGCAGGTCTCTCACAGGAAATAATTAGGACTCAGAGTTTTATACATTTAGGACATTGTACCCAGTCAGAACTGGTGTCATTAGGAAGTGAAAACAGAGAGAAAAAAATACCTTAAAAATTTTTAGGGACATTTGTCCTTTTTGTGTGTTCTTATCGCACCATGCCCTTCGTACACAGAGACATTCTGCTCCTTTCCTCTGCCTTCACCCCTCCTCCTCACCTTCACCCTGGGAACCCCACCTAATTTCAGACCACACTGTACCTTTCTCTTCATTTCCTAATTAGCAGCTGAAGGCAAACTACCGACTTCAAAGGCAAATTCTAAACAGAGTGGTATGTGCGAAGCATATGACCAGTAAACAGGATGCTGAAACAGGGAAGCCTTCATTAGGTGAACCCTGATAGCCAATGAGTTTTCAAGCTAAGGGAAATTCAGTGCAATTAGAACTACTGAATTACCTATACACCAAATGCACTCACTGTCTTTGGATGAGTGCCTGTGATATTGGGATTTATAATAAGAAATATAGAGAGCAATCACGATAGTTTCAGACAGAGGGAATCACCTCGACAGGGCAAGATTATGAGAAAATTGGCATCTGCCAAGGTCCCCGGGAGACCTTACTTAGCCCGAGGCCAACAGAACAATGACTCCCAAGTACCCTTTGTTCTCCACAAGGTTGTTCATTGTTCTCCAAGGTTGAACTTTTCTAAACCTTTGAGAAAGGGTCCTGAGTGTCCCTCTGTCGGCCGCATCCCAGCCTTCTTTTCTTTTTCCTGTTTCTCGCTCCCCTATTCTAGAATTGATTAGCCTGTCCCTCTTCTGGCTCTGGAGGACCTGACTTCTCAGGAAGAGTCGAACATATAAGAAGAAATATATAGTTGGCCTTTGTCCACAGTTCCGAGGACATAGCATCTAACACCTTTGTCATTTGCTATATAGGAGCAGTAGGGGCATCTTTAGTTATAATATGACAATTATTCATAACAAGCTCCTTTCAACAACACCTGAGTTTATGTTAATGTGGTCACTTTTGAAAAGCCCCTAACCACGGGATAGGGGCTGATCATCGGGGTCGGAACCAGCCAAGTGATTAGAAAGATGGTTTGAACTTTCGGCCTCATGCCCCTGTACTTCGGGGTTGATGAATAAGAACGCGTCCACATGCTGGGAGGGTGGCACACCCCGAAGTCCACTGGGTCAAAAGCTCCTGCCCTTGGGATCCTTCCAGACCTCATCTTATCTCTTCATCTGGCTGTTCATTCACATCTTTTCATATCCTTTGTAATAAACTGGCAATCTAGTAAGAACACGGTTTTTCTGTGTTCTGTGAACTCTTCTAGCAGGGGTCGTGGGAACCTCCGATTTATAGCCAGTCGGTCAGAAGCACAGGTGACAACCTGGACTTGCAAGTGGCAACTGAAGTGTGGGGAGAATAGTCCTGTGGGATGAAGCTCTTATCCCGTGGGATCTGATACTATCTTCAAGTAGAGATGGAAATGAATTAAATCGTAAGACACCCAGCTGGTATGGCAAAATTGCTTGGTGTGGAGAACCTCACACACACACACATTTGGTGACCAGAAGTGTCAGAAATGAAGTATTCTGTGAGGAGAGTATTGAGAGTAAAGGAAACACACGGGAGTTTCTCCTTTACATTGTACTTGATATACGTAATTAGTTCATTGGCCTAAACCAAAACGAACTTTGTAAGTCCAATTTCTTATTAAGTGAAAAGTCTGTACAAAACATCTGTAACAAGGATCACTGGCCATGAAGACAAATGTGATTATAAAAAAATAAAAGCTGGAAATTTTAATTGGATTTATTTTTAATATTACTGCTTTATTAAGTATATTATACATGTTCGCAGTAAAAAAAAAAAAAAAAAGATAATACACAAGTAAATAAAATAGGCCCTGAAAGGTTCTGACCTAATCCCACTCCACAGAGTAACTGGAAACAGGCTGGTTTATACACTTTCTCCTTTTCTCCTATGCTTATATGAACATATAAACACACATATATATGTGTGGAAATTTTTCTTTAATTTTTATAAATGGATCATTCTACGCTTGTCCGTGACTTGGTTTTTTTTCACCACCAATATTTCCCCTCATAAATAGAACATTTGCTGGAAAAAAGTTTATTTTGTACCTGGTATGTGTCAGTGCTAGGGTTAAAACACTTAAGAATGTATATACAATCTCTGTGCTCACGGAAGGGCAGAGGGGAGAGACAATCATCACGGACTGAGAGATCCTGAAAGCAAAAAACAGGGGAGTCGGGGAGGAGGAAGGAGGAGAGGGAGCCAGGTGCCTCTCCCGAGGGGTCGTTTAAGCTGGAAGCTGAAGGCAAAGAGGGGGAGCAGTGGTTCAGGCAGAGCAAACACGTGAGTCAAGGGCCAGTGATGGGAAAGTGCTGTTGTGCCCGAGAAAGTAAAAGATCCTGACGCTGGGAAGTTGGCCCAAAATGAAGTTAGAGAAACAGGCCAGGGTCAAAGCATGCAAGTTCTCAAGGTGGCTGGATTGTACTCTAAGTGCAAAGAGAAGCCACCAGTAGGCTTCCAGCAGGGAAGTCATATGATACAATTTATGCCATGATACTATTGGCTTTCCACAATGTATTTATTCAATTCCCTATTGATGGATACTTAACCAATTTCCAACTGCTTAACAGATTTCTAGATTTGGAGGCTATACCCATCTTCGGTTACAGTATATCTTAAGGTCTGATTAGTCTGAAGAGTTCACTGATGCAGGGACTGATGCCTAAACATGATCAAAGCTCAGAGCAGAAAATACCCTGGCCAGGGTTAGGGGCAACTTGAAACTGCAATATCTCAAAAAGGATTGGGACATGTCAGAGTGCAATCCGATCAGGCAGCCACTGCTCAGAGCATTTTTAAGATTTCTCTGGAGGAATATGTTCATAGTGTTCCAATCTATGCTCCTGGTCCCTACATTCAACTACCTAGATGACATCTCTTCCTGGATGTCCCAGAGCCATCTCAAACTCAGAATGAGAATGACCAAACCTGAACATCACCTCCATCACCTCCCTCAGTGATAAGAGATCTCAGCATCACTCACTTCTCTAAGACAAAAACTGTGGTCCTTATCACTCTCAGATACCTCCTTCTCCTTTGCCCTTCACCTCCGAACAGTCATAAAGTCTACTTAATGCTTCTGTCCTGCTGTTCACATCCCTCCACTTGCCCTGCCCCCTGAACTCAGGCTCAAACCCTTCTCCCCTGGATTACTGGTCTCCTAACTCTCTGACGTCACTTCTACTCACCCCTTACATATCAATACTTCTAAGTTCAAATCTGATTATGAAACTCCTTGGCTTAAAATCCTTAAAAAGTCTCCCCACAGCTTTCATAACTAAGGCTTAGCACAACTATAATCTGGCTCCTATCTGCTGATCCCTAACCTCTCACTGCTCTTATCTTGGGGCTCGACCTTACCAAATTTTTGGCCAAAGCACCCCACGCCATCCTGACTGTGCACTTTCACACGTGTTGCCCTCTGCCTGAACACTCATCACCCCACTGTCCCACTGGCCCCTTCTAATGTAGCTGAATGCCCCTCTACTTGTCTTCCAGGACTTATCTTGGCCATTACCTCTCCAAAAAGACTAGAGAGTAAAGACCGTAAAATTTCCACAAATACGTAAGCCCAGTGCCCAGCCCAACCCAGCACCTAACATACAATAAACACTCGGCAAATGCCTCTGTGCAAACGAATTGCCTTCAGAGACAATTTATAAATCACTTTTTAAAAAAGCAACAATTCCTTTATAGTTATCCCATTTTAAAATGAAAGGGAAAAGTAGAATTATTAAGTTTGAGTTATCATTTTATTTCCTAAACTGCCAAATATCGCCTCCATCAGCGAAAGATAGTCATGCCACCACTTCAGGAGCATATGCTTCGGAAAGCATGTTAAAAACAAAAAAAGCTCCCAAAATGTCATAATCAATGGTATCATCAGTGGACTCCATTTAATGACTATTTTGAAGAGATAAGCTCTAATTTGGACCTGTGTGGTCTGGTGTTTTTAATTAAAATCTGCCTTAGTATATTAAATCCATACCTTCCGTCGACATCTGTCAAAGCTTTATTAAATTAAACTCGCTGATTTTTTGTTCATTTGTTTGTTTTAGTCCAGATTTATTTGAAAAAAAGCTCAATCATTCTAATATAGAAATATAAATTAAAACAAGAATATTTTTTTAATCTATCAAATTCTCAAAAATTAAAAGAATGTTTACTGCCTGGAAGTGTGCAGTAAGGCAGACACCAATGGTTCTGGTGGTTGTGGGCATGTGAACAACCTATATATATTTTTTCTTTTTTTCTTTTTTTTTTAATTTTTTTTAGGCAAGGCAACCTTTGGTTGACCTCACAGATTGCAAGGACCTTGTCAGTTTACAATCCCCTATTATTTTATTTTTTTCAACTACAGCTCCTGGTCTTCCTAGGTGGTCTCCCATCCAAGTAGGGAACAACCTTTCTTGAAGGCACTTGGGGTCCTTTAAAACACCTACATTTTTGTCCCAATCAATACACACTAGGAATTTATCTTTAGAAATAATCAAATGAGCGTGATCATTTATGTAAGACAATGTTCCATGCAGCGGCATTTAGAACAGTAAATGAAATGGGTACCATATGAATCCACTTGTAAGTGTACATTTCTAGCAGTGGATAGAAACCTAACTGGATGACTGTGCAGTAGAATGACAAAAGTCATTATCTCCGATAAAATTACTGAAACATTTTATTTTCTGTCTCTTAAGTTATCCAAATTTTCTGTAATATATACTTATTACTTAATTTTAAAAATACACCTTTGTAAACCTTGAATACATTCTCACAGAGCAGTATGTACAGTGAAAAAAGAAACCTTTTTAATTCCTCCTTTCCACACTCCTCTCCCTTTACCGCAGGTAACAACGGTTGAAAGCTTGATGTGTATGATTCTGGGACTACTTCTATATATCGATAACATACATATGTATATAAACACGCTTTATTATCTGGATGTCATTACACTATTTGTATTAATCTGCAACTTAATGTCCCTCACTTAATAATATGGCTGACAGATCTTTTCCTTGTAAACAGCTGAAGCAATTAAGTTACAGGAAAAGATTAAAGAGACTTTGCTATTTTGCCATTAGGAGAGAAGTTTATAACTTAATACTATCTCCAAATATGAGCAGGAGCTTTATGAGGTGAGAGTTAAAGCAGTTTTTCTCTTTCCATGGGAGAGTAAATAGAACAGAGCAGGACGGTTTCATTGACATAAGAAGCATGTCTTGGTTGCCACTCCCTGAACACCAGACACCACTTTGCACAAGCTGAACTATCGGATTCCCTAGAAATCTCCCTCCCCCAGGCTCCACACCAGCATGTGAACAGAAAATCAGGAAGGAAACACATTTTTCCTTTAGCAGAAACATCTTTTCTGTTTTTGAGTCATTTGACTAGGTCAGTAAGTCCTCCTAAGGCCACAAATTCAGTAAGTTGTCACAGTCACTTCAGCAACATGCATGAGCAATTGCATTGAAGTATGATTATTCCTACCCAACAAATGCATTTCATTAGCATTTTAATTATCAAAGAGGTATTTCTGGTTTCTTTCCAAGAAGGAATAACTATGTAGACAGACTTGCCCAAGGGCCTTAGGTGGAGTTTGGTTGTAAAAACTTGGGCCTCACATACCAAATTTCGCTCTCTGAAATAAATATTGGGAACTCCCAATTTTTTTCATTTCAGATTAAGCAAACGAGTGAAATTCCAAATTTTAATTTTGAGCTATAATTAACATGAACATATGCCAGAAAAATAAACAACTACCTCATAAAACCCACGATTCTGTAATTATTGGCAAGGATGAGGATAAGTAAAATTGAGTCAATTTAAAGTTGATTAAGCAGCGCTTCACAGTGATATAGACAACCCCAACTCAAAGGTGCTACGCAGCTCTGCTATGTTGAGGCAGCATCGGATGTTATCATCATCCCTGCTCCCTGTGCCTTGCTTATACAATATCCTCATGATTCCATTACCTTCTATTGCTCTCTCTCAGCTCGATATTCCTATCAGCATTTAACAGGCCCACATTTTCCTAATCTTTAAACAAAAAAAGACCATCCTTCACTTCTCTTTCAGCTATGGCTTTCTCTCTCTTTCCACTCGGCCGGGCCCCACTATTGAAACAGCTGGCTACATTGCTGGCTGGCTGCATATGCATACCTCCCACTCATTCCTCAGCACACTCCAATCTGGCTTCCTCACGCCACCACTGCAGGGCCACGACCTACCTGATGAGAAACTCAATGCAGGCTTCACTTATTGTTTCATTTTATCTTTCAAGAGCACTCAACTGGGCTCCTGTCACCAAACCATCTGCTATGTGCCAGGCCATTATGGTTTTCCTCCTTCTCTGGTCGTATATTCTGTTTTGTTTAAGTCTCCTCTGCTGACTCCTTCTCCCTAAACAGGATGAATGTTGGTGTTCTTTATGGTTATATCTCAGACTCACTACTTTTCTTCTTCTGCATACGAATTCTGGGTAATCTTAGCCACTCTCCCAGCTTCAAAAATCATCCATATGCTGATGATTCCCAAATTCATGTCTCCGATTTCAGTCTCCCCATGGAGCTCTGACCTGTTCATTCAGCCTACCTGGGTGTGCTGTAGGAACCTCAATGACAACATATCCGAAGTGGAACTTATCATCTTCTCCCTATTTCTATTGCAGAGATAAGTAAGAGCGTCTACCTAGTTGCCCAAGCCAGAGACTATATTCCTTGACTTCTGACCCTGATGTGCTCACCCAATCAATCTCCATGCCTACATCCCCAATGTTAAAGGTTTGCTTCTCTCCATCTTTCTATCACATCGGTATAGGTCACTGTCATCTGTAGCCTAACCAACTATAAAAGCCTCATAACTGGTCCCATTTCCCATTAACACCTTCACAGCACATGAATGTATAGCTTCCACGTAATCTTAAGATAAGGTCCACGATTCCTTAACTCCCCAGTATTCTCTGCCAGACTAGGCTCTAGAGTTCCATGAAGAACATTCCGGGCTTCAGATTTTCCAAATACTTCCTTGCCTTGGGTCTCTAGACATATCCGAGACTCTCTCTTTATCCTAATCCCTGGTTTATAGCTACTCTTGCTTTAGGTTCAGCATAAACATGATTACGTTCTTCCCTATCATGTCACTCACCATCCTTTTATTGTAATTCCTATTCAGTGTCTACCTTACATTCCAGGAGGGCAGTAACCAAAACTGTCTTGTTTAACACCATATTTTCAATGGCTGGCATTACGCCTGGCACAGCAGTTGATACTCAATAAATATTTATTTAGTGAGAATGAATAAACAGCTTTTTAGACACCACAAGAAAATGAGGTATCTATAGGCCCTGAAAGCCGGAATGAAACAATAAAAATGCACATTTCATTTGAGTATAGGAAACACTATTCTGTTTCTCGGGTACCTAAAGAATGCTGTACAAATGGCTGTAAGAATCTACCAAGTTTCAGCATCAAACCCAGACACATTCTCTTCTGAGGAACTGAATGGTTTACTGTCTGATGAGCTACTCAACAGTTACCTTGCTTACTTCCTTTAAGGCCCTTTTGCAGACTTCATATTTCGGAGAGTCCTTAGGTGTCTTTTGACAGATAGTCTGCAATGAAGTAAAAGAAGAAAAAAAGTCAATTGACTTATTTTATTAAGTATAATAAAACCAATGTCCAGACATATCCTCTTATACATAGCAAACTCAACAATGCTGAATGCAATATTATGGATGAGTATGACAGTGACATTAAAATCCAGTTACAAAATTAGCAAATAGTTTTTAAATATGCAGGATCCAAGTATATCCAGGGAATGGTTAAATAAGAGAATAGACTTCAGAGGTGGATGAACCTGGTTTCAAATCTGAGTTCTGTCTCTCGCTTGTGATTTCACCTTGGGCAAGTCATGTACCCTATCTCGATAAGCCTCAGTTTCTTCATCTGTAAATTCAGGATAATGCCAACTATGTCACAAGGTTCTTGCAGGGTTAAATGATAATACATATAAAGTTCTTTATGAGTGCCTTGCAGACAGTAGGCCATCAACAAATGATAAAATTACTTTACCATCATTATTATTAGAGGTAACTATACTTGTAAATGATGCAACTGAATAAAAAGACCAAGAAAATAAGGATTTTCTGAATTTTCTCTTGACACATTTATACTGCAAATTTGAGATGGTAAAATTGAGCTCAGAGGGTTAATTCAAAGTAAACTGGATTACACATAACTTTTGAAACTATGCTCTTTCGAAGTCATCGGAACCATTTAAATTGTTTAAAATGTTCATCTCAATTTACAAGTTCAACTAAATCTCTAAATGAAGTAAAATTGAAGAGACAATGTTTCAAGCACGTTTGTATTCTGCCTAGGTGGCCAGATTCTCACACATGGGAAACAGATTAGGGCAACAGACGTCAAGCAGAAGTAGAAGGTAGGGGACCTTGCAAACCACTGGTACCTGAAATGTAGATGAGTACTAGGCCTATAAATCTGACAGTCAGATTTCAGGATTGTTATATGGGATATGTGAGAAGCACAGAGTGTGCCATTTATGGATTTATATTAATGTTTCTTAATTTTTTTTGCTATGACCTGCTGTAAGAAATATGTTTATACTGTAACCAGTACATGTACACACAAAAATGAAACAAATTTTTAATGAAATAGTAAACCATCTTATGAAACATGTACATATCATATACTACATGTTCAATTCTATTTCATTTTTTTAAACATTGTTCATGATTCAATAATGAATTTCACGACTTACTAAGGAGTACTAAAGCAGTTTGAAAAATACTGGTTTATGTCCCAGAGAGCAGTCATCCTGAGTTCACAATGTCTTTGTACACTTCAATTTTATGTAAAATTGTGTGCATACTGAATTTTCTAGGGAGAATGACTACAGTTTTACTTAGAATCGCAGAAAAGTATAGAGCCCACTGGGCAATCATGGCATAAACCTCCAAAAGGTTTACGTTAGATTTTTTGTTAGATTTTGTGAGTCCTAATCTATTCAAGCAATTTTCACAAAATTAAACAGAAAGAGACTGCAAGAAGCTGAGAGATCACAGCATATACAGAATCTAAAGAAACATGGCTAAATGCATTTTCAGAAGAAAAAGAGCTCCAAAAATTCATAACATTACAAGAAATGTTACATTTAGAAAGCACCCATTTCTTGTTAAAAAATAGTAAAGTTTGAATAACATTTCCCCATGTAAACCAAAGTTTTGTATTTTTATAAAAGTCTTAGAAGTCACATGAAATAAACTTCTTTTAAATGACTGACTTCTGATAAAATGTTAATGGAAAGAAGCACAGTAACTGCTTCTCAGAGGAATCTTTAAAAAACGTTACAATATTAATATAACTTAGCACAAGCCTTTATATTTATTAATTTAGTCAAGAAATGTTATCTATTATTGTCAAACTTAACATTTATGATGTCATTTGTTTTCATGCCAACCCTATAGGTAAGTACGTATTATACTTATGTTTCAGATGGAGTTAAGCAGTTTGTCCTAGATCATACAGGAAGTGGCAGGGCCGGAATCTGTAGCCAGGTCCGTCTTATTCCAGAGTCAGAGGATTTCACTACATCAAGTTTACACGTCAGAATCCCTTCTCACAAAGTGCTGTGAGTGTTCAGATGGAGAGGAAGATAAATTGGTTGGAGAGGAATTGAGTAAAGCTTTATGAAAAAGAAGGAGCATTGGTGTTTGAAAGATGTGCTTCTCTTGATCATGTGCAAAAGGAAAATTGAGAAGTGGAAGCCAAGAACAATGTGAACAAAGATGCAGAGTGGGAAAGTCAGGGCATCTGTAGGGAACAAGTTGGGACGGAACCTAAAAATAACCTTTTTAAAGCCAAAATTTGGTTTTGATAACCTGGCTGCATTCTCTCTTTAAACATGATAAATACTGACTTCAAAAAAAAAAAAAATCAGAAAGCTAAATTTTCAAAATTCTGCAAGTTTCCCAATATTTATGTGGCGAGCAGGATGCTGGACTTTTCTCACCCACTCTGCACAAGTATGAACAGGGGTAAGTGTATGCCTCATAACGCTGGAATGGAAGCACCGCTGCATCTTGGAACATCACCGGGAAAGGATCTTAGTAATCAACCTGAGGAAACTGAGGCCCAAAGAGATTAAGTGACTTGCCCAACGTCACGCGCCTCGTGGCTCAGCCGGAACCAGAACTCAGGGCTCTCGACTTCAAAAAGTCGATATTCTTCCCATTTCAAAAAGTGGTAAGTAAGTGATGTAATCTAAATTCTTCAGAGTGACCACACAAAACCTAAACTAAAGATAATTTCTGAGGATAGACACAAGGGAGGCTTTCCAACCGAAGAACACCTTCTTGCTCAACTGGGAGATTTTATAAAGGGGTTACGTATCAATTTCACTGGAATAAGAACAATTTTCTTAATCAGATTTTGGGCAGTGCAACTACCCAAAGAGGAAGGAGCCACCAGATCATGTCTTACGTCCATCAGCAGGGGAAGGCGGGTCACCCTCTGCATGGGGAGAATGAGAAAAGAGATCATGGGTAAGTTCTTACAGTCTTCGTGGGACTCGATTCGTGACAATACTTCCTTAAAAGAAGGATTGGTGGCTCTGAGGAAAAACAAAGAAAGAAGAAACATCAAAATACTTCCTCCTCAAGTTAAGAAGCAAGTAAAGATGTATTATGAAACATTGTGATTAAATTCACATATTATCAATGATTTTTAAATATATAGAACAACATGAACATATAATTACATAGGCAGACATAGATGGCTTGTCTGCCTTTTATAGTTAAGACAAAATATGAGTTTAAGGTAACAGTATGAACAATAAGATGGAAATGCATGAGCTAGAAATTTATAGAAGTGGAAAGTAAACAAATGAAGAGGCAATGGTATCATAATGATGAACATATCGATTACAAATTAGTATCCAGAATAGAGCTCATATCTAATAATCTAGAAACATTCCATTAAAAAGATAACATGATTTGTTTTAAGCTCCTTCTCTAAGCATGGATAATAATCTAAGAAAGAAATGTCAGTCTAGATTTACTAATTCGGAGCTTCCAAGACAGAAAAACTTCTAACCACATCAGCCAGAGTATTTCTCCCCTCTCAGTGGCATGAGAACAGTAACAATACTGCCACATCATTTTTATGGAATTTAGCATCACATATTGACATGACCTTACGTGGAACCACCTATACAATTTTTAAGGAAGGCCAAGTGGGGATTCCAATAAGAACGGAGCCTCAGAAAGGCCCCCGACTTGCCAAATAATATACCTAGTATTTGGTAAAGGCAAAAGTCAAACCAGGGTCTTCTGATGTTCAGTGGGTGCCCTCACCCTGCATCTCTCATTCTCTCACCTCACTTCACCCCAAGAGGAGCTGTGAGGAGTTCCACTGTGACTTGCAAGGAGAAGGTGGGGAAGAGATGGTCCTGGATGCAGTAACCCCATGTTGGAGGGAAGTGGGAGGGCAAGAAGCAGGGTTGTGGCAACTGTAATCTTTTTAAAAATATTATAGATCTTGAAAATTAGATGATTTGGTTCAAGTCTGCTAAAAATAAACTAGGAAATACCCAAAATAGAAAATTAAAAGAAATTACACAAAAATGTTTTAATTTCATTTTCTTATTAAAATGAGGAATTTTAAGTATTTTTTCCTGTGGATTTTGAAAAGATTTTTTAGGAAATTAAAAAAAAAATCAAACTCTAAACCAGTTGTCTCTTTAAATCACTCAGTTAGGTACCAGCCTTCCCCACCCTTACCCCCCCCACCCAGGATTAAATATTCCTAGGATGGTCCCCTAGGCTTTGTTTACTAGCTTGTTTTCAAATTCTCTGGTTTCCAAAGCCTAAAGCTCCAAGGGCTGAAAGTCGGAGCCCTAAATGTAAGTTCAAGGTCAACTGCAACAATGCTCCTGAAAACACAATTACTAATTTCCAGGTAAAAGCTCAAATGACGGCCATTAAGTTAATTTAAATAAAATCTTTGGTTTTTTTTTTTTTTTGAGAGTTACATAATGTACAGCAGTTCCTGTTCACATTTTTTAAATCCTGCAAAAAAAAAAAAAAACAACAACAACAAAAAAAATCAAACAGAAAACAAAACAAAAAAAAACAATATGAAATTTAGCTCTAATTTAAGGCTTTGTTTCCGAACATGTAACTTGCCTGTTTTCTAACAGTGACAGAGCAAACCTTTATACCAGCAGTTCCCAGGAGGGAAGGGGACTCGGGGAAAGTGAGGGGTGTGATCTTCCCTCAAGGGACATTCAGCAATGTCTGCAGGCTTTTTTGGTTCTCACAACTGGGGTGAGGGGATGCTACCAGCTTTTAGTGGGCTGAGGCCAGGGATGCTGGTAAACACACTACAACGTGCAGGTCAGCCCCACGACAGACAGCTATCCAGCCCAAAATGTCAGCAGTGTTGACAAATCCTGCTTTATATTGAAAACCTCATTTGGGGTTGTCAGCTGTGGGTGTTTCCCACCATTCCTATATAAAAGCTTCGTGAGAAGGTGGAGGGGGAAGGGGCATAATCAGCCCTTCTCACCAACATCACCAGAGGGCTGACTCTCCAAGCAGCCATAAGGCTAATGGTAGTCATCATCAACCTTGACCTCTCCACAGGATCCCACACCCTGCGGAGAATCTGACCAGAATTCCAAGCTATGGTCACAAATGCTACAACTCACAGGACTGAGAATGAGAACAGACAGTAAGCCCCCAAACAGAGTTTACAGCAATGCACAATGGCACTGTAAAACAAACAGCTACTTGTGATAAACAAAACCCCCCAAAATAAAACAATATAGGCATTACAACTGTTGACTCTTTTAAGGATAGAGATGGCATATGTGTCACATCCAAACTCTAACCTAAATAGGACAGATGGAAAAAGTGTGGAGGAACATTTAAAGCTCAATTCTTTTTTGCTTCACAATTAAAGTCTAAGTATGATTTTTTTTTTAATGCTTTCTTTCAGACCTGTCTCAGACTACCCAGAGGGGTAAATCAGCAACTCCTATAAACAACTTAATAGAATCGTCATTTGGATGGAGGAAGATTAGAATACTAGAGAAAACTCTGGATCCTAGGCACTAACTCAACTTACTCAAAAACTCTGGTGGCCTCAGGCAAAACACTTTATGGTCAGTTAAAGGATTAGATAATGGGTGTTTCGAAATGCTGATCATAGCAATTAAAAAAAAAAAAAAAGGAAAACCACAACAACGAACTATAATTTCATAATTGCTTTAGAGAGAAAATTCTCCAGAGACAACATTTTTCTACTCAAACACCCTCACCCTAAAAGCAATCCTCTTAAACATTTCTCTCAGGAAAATAGCCCATAAGAAGGCATTTCTAAAGATGAGTTAGGAGCTCAACTAATTTCAATCAATGTGACTTAATTCAAACAAGGTTAGACAATTGAAACTGTAACATTCGGTATAGCTTACAACAATTTTTGTAGTGTTCGTTGTTGATAGACTTCATTTGTGCAGTATTTCACGTACGGGTCGAATGTGGATGCTGTGTGTTTTTCCACAATGTCACTTATGTCATCTATGAAGATATTATTCTGATGTCTTGCTTCCAATTCTGTAAAGAATCTGAAAAAAAAAAAACCAAAGAAAATCATTTATACTTTCTTCCATATACTTTAATAGACAACAGATTTCCTCACATAACGCTATTATACAGGGTTTGAAAGTATCAACAGTATCAGTGCCAACTCAAAAACATAGGAGGAAAAAAACTGTTTAAAAAAGTCTAAATTAAAATCTATCATATTAACACCTTAAAACTTCAAGTAGGCAGTTTAATACATTTATAATCCAGTGCTTTCAGGTATATTTTAGAATATACAGATTTCACTATTTTTCAAGAATTCCCTAGATATTGAGGGGGAGTAATTTGATGCTTACATATATTATTGTATTGAAAAGCATATGAACAAAACACCTAAATAAGTTCTTAAAAAACAAGTCTGAAATAAACCTAATTCTATGTGTCCCTTCTTCCAAAAGAAAAATAATGCTATTTTAAATCTAATAATATGCATAACATTTAAGTATCTTCATAAATTATTTAGACTGCAATTTAAGGTAGTGCTTATATGTATGTATATTGTGTCTAATCAATTAAAATTAAATTTATCATAAACGATGAATAATTTTTTTTAGTACCAAGTATGTGCCAAATATTGCACGGGACATCTCAGGCATCTTATATTTTCTCTGGCAACCCTAGACCGCATCCAGTTTAAACAGAACATCAAAATTGGGTATTTAAAATAGGTTTCCACACAGTGTCGCTGCTCAAAATGTGGCCCACAGACCAGCAGCATTGGTATCATCCAAGAGCTTATGAGAAATGCACAATCTCACTGCCTACCTCCCCCAATCTGAACCCGCATTTTATCAAGATCTCCAGATGACTCGAACGAACACTAAAATTTGAGCACTGCCCTAGAGCCCACTTACCGTCCAAGTTTGGAGTGGCAGGAAAATCTACAAGAAATAACTATTCCACAAAGACCAAAGCATTTTCCCTGAAAATGTGATGAAGGTGAGATCAACAATAATTTCCAATGCTGACTCTGGAACAGTATTACAAGGGAAATTTAGTTTTCAATAAGCTCTTTAGCATTAAACACATTTTGCTGGCCGGATTCCATCATACAAAATTCAAGGCTGACAGTGAATCGGATAACGCAAATTTATACAAGATAATAGTACATATGGGTTGACCTTTTCTCACATTTATATCTCAGTTATTTTCAAAAAAAGTCCTGGCACTCAGAAATAAAACATGACATTAAGGACATAATCAGGACATTAAGAGGTTTTGTTTTTATATATTTATACATACATTAAACTCATTTTGGTATAAACTGTATTATTAAGCTTGTCATCATTATCAATTTTAGCTCTTAAAGTTTCCATAAGAGCTTAAAAGACAAATAAATACATCTGAACTTCATTTATACTCTGAGAAAGCACTTACATTTTAATTTCCTATGAAAAGGACTTAGGGAGAATAATCAATATGATTCCTATCCACAAATAACTGGCCCACTCATCCAAGCCCCTTGTTTAAAACAGCAAGAGGAAAAACAAAGCAGACTTTGCTGGACTATTTGCCTTTCCTTTCAATGGTATCAGGGTTAAAATACACAATTCTTAGGCAGTAAGCCAGAAAACACACCAATATGTTGCAAAATCTAGGCAATGGCTTCATATCACTTTGTCAGGACTGAGTCTATTAATATTCAAATAAAACGTCAAACCCCTTCCTTAGTTTCAGTAATCTCAAAAACAACCAACTCCGAACTCCAAAACAAATGCCATATTTCTTAAAGGATAATTTCTATACAGACCACTCCCTGACTTGAAGTTTGTGATATATTAGGAAGGTAAGAATGATAAACATAGGTGATATAGAAAGATAATATTCTTGCATGTACCTACAGGTTAGAACATATGTGCATTAGGGTGCTGGTGGTAGTATCTTTTCTTTAATTACATGAGCTAAATATTTTTATTGTGATAAAATACGCATAACAAAATTTGTCAGTTTGACCATTTTTAAGTGTACAATTCAATGCATTCATTACATTCATAATATTGTGCAACCATCACCATTATCTATTTCCAAAATGTTTCATCACCCTAAACAGAAAAGCTAACCCCATTAAGCAATAATGCCCCATTTTCCTCTTTCCTCGGCCTCTAATAACCTCTAATCTACCTTTGTCTCTGTGAATTTGCCTATTCTAGGTATTTCATATAAGTGGAACCATCCAATATTTGTACTTTTTGCCTGGCTTATTTCACTTAGTGTCATGTTTTCTAAGTTCAACCATACTGAGGCACGTATCAGAATTTTATTCCTCTTTATGACGGAACAATATTCCTGTGTATGTATATACCATAACCTGTTTATCCATTCATTTGTTGATAGAAACTCAGTTAGTTTCTACTTTTGAAGCGCTGTGAATAATGCTGAACATTCACATACAAGTATCTTTTTGAGTCTCTGTTTTCAAATCTTTGGGTTAAGTATATAGTTAGAGGTGGAATTTCAACCTCATTGACTCTGTGCCAATAATAGTGTATATCAAGAAAAGATAACTAACACAGAAACAGCTGAGTTATATGCCAGCAGATTATTTCATTAAGTAAAAGTTGAGTACGAAATAAGCCTTCTCTCCTGACATTCACTTTTGAGTGGCCCATGGGAGGCAAGGACCAATTAACTACAAAATCTGTAACAGAAACAGGCATACAATAAAGAGTCCTGAAGGCAGCCTGACTGACAGCCAGTAAACACAGGTAAGGAAGAGTGTGAGACAGATCTTCAGAGATAAGAATGGCATTACTGGAAGCAGAGGGACTCAACACTGTGGGCTGAGGAAGCAGCATGGCCCTAGATACAAATCTCGTTCAAGCAAATGTGGGTAGCTGAGTGAAGCTGAGGTGTGGACCACAGTAGGAACAAGGGCAGAGAATGAAGGCTGAAAAGCAGGTCAGAACTTAATTGCAAAGTTTGGACCGTGTGTTGAGGTGAATCCACTGGAGGTGTTCAAGCCAATAAATCACCCAGACAGGGAAAATTGGGACAGCAGAGGGATGGATTCTAAGTGGGGAGAGACAGACCACAACCAGGCCAGTGAGATGGCTAATCTGGCCAAGTGATGACAAAGCCTGGCAATGGGAAATTAAAAAGAGAGGATAGAGATTTGAGTAAGAATTTGGAGGGAAAGTGAATAGAATGGAGAAACTCATTAGATGGGAAAGTCAAGGAAGATGCTAGGATTTCTAGATAAGGTTTCAACCTAGGCATCAAGGTAGGTCATTAACCATTCACGAAGGCAGGGATTTGGGGTACAGGGAGGAGAAGAAAGAAGGAAGCACTTTAATTTTGCCTTGGAGATGTCAAATGGACAGCTGAAAATGCACATCTTTGAGAATTCTGAGCCACAGCAATTCTAGGGTAGCATGCAGTCAGGACCAGTTCCTTTTTAGCTGGTTTTCATATAAATTGAAAATATTTGTACTTTAATTCCAAGTGTTTTTTAAGAAAACGTTCAAAGAAAAATGAAAAAATAAGAAACCATTCATTAGGTCATTATCATGTAAATCTAAGAAATAAATATCTTAGAGGCAAATATTTTTTATAGTTTCTTGTCTTTAGCTAACTGTCACAATCTGAAGGAATGCAACTGTATAACCAAAAACAACAGTAACTTGGCTTTTCCCAATGAAAAGGAAAATTCATTTATCACAGTAAAAGGCTTGCCAAAGTATAAGATTAAAAACAAAGTACTAATGAAATATCTGTTTGTGCTACTTTAACATAATATAAACCAAGCCACGCTCATCTTTTATTTTTACATTAGCATAATTAAGACACAATTTAAACCTTTCTATTGGTTATTTTGGCAAATTTACATATTTTACTAAGGGAACTGAGCTACAAAAAGACCAAGAAAGTATTAACAAAGAATAAGGTTTTATTCTGAAAATCAAGAATATTGCTGATCCAAATCAAAAATGAAGCAAAAGTAAAAGCATTCTGTTTCCCTGGATGAAACCTGACTGGATTTGTGAAGTCATTTGGCTTATTTGAAGGGCAACTTTTTAATGGAAATATATTTCAGTGCTATAATTTTTTTCTGGGACAATACATTATCTCCTCTTAGCATGATCAAGATGGTCGTGTTTTATAACCATGTTACGCAACCTCTCTCTCTTCTTTTTTTCTACCAAAATTCTAATCTCATCACTAAAGTCCAGATTTTGAGAAACCTGATAAACCAGAAAAGGCTTCCTAAAAACACTGCCTCCTAACCAGAAATCCAACTTAGCCCAGTTTGACTGTTGACTCACCATCACCAGCATAATCACACCCACATTTCAAATGTGTGCCTCCAATGATTGCCCAGGTGAGTTCCTTGGCTGTGCAGATAATGATCGGACCACCACAAACACCAGGCGGCCTCCCAGGACACTGAACTTCAAGATGATAACTACAAGTCCTTGTTTGAAGAGCTTGCTCATGGCCTGCAACCTCTCCTCTAATATTTCCTAGAACTCCAAGAACCATATATTCTTTAGGCTTTTTGTAATTGCTTTATCAAGTGACAGTCTTAAATGTGGCCCTGCATTTTGGGGGAAAAAACAAAGTCAGCAGTGAGGTAGCCATGACTGATACACTCAGTGCATATATTTTTGTTAGTTTCACTTCCTCCCTTCAGTAGTAGGCAGAAAAGACCTATAAACGTGAGGTATAAATAACCCATAACATTACTAACAGCCTTCTTAAAATATGACTGGTAATGTAACTGGCATGCTGCATATGAGTGTTCCTGATAGCTCTTGAAGACTGTACAGTCAATCCTTCAATCTACAGAGGAGATTAAAACTTATTTAATAGAGATAACAAATCTGTTTTAATTAGTCAACCAACAAAATCTCCTTCCATGTGTCTAATACAGGCTTTAGTAGATGTCAAGGCACAAATGATCAATAGTTATGTCCACTATTTATTGTGCCAGGCCCAGTGTTACCTGTGTGCTTCCCATATACTGCCTCATTTAATTTAATCA